GGGCTGCCAGAGCTCAGCCGTTAGACTCCGAAGTAATTGTCATTACATACATTTTACCAGTTCTCAGTCAACGTAAATAGCACTGCACATAAAGAACAACAAACAATCCTGTGTCAAGGCCAGGAACAGTAAAAATAACTTCAGTCTACTAAAAAGATAAAAGAAGAGGAAGAAAAAGAAAAAGAAGAAAGGAAGACCTGAGTCATTTCCTATCAACATGACACAGTTCTCTTATTGAAAATACACTCAACAGTTGTTGTGTGAATGAATACAGAAAAATCTGACTTTTTCCCACAAGGAAAAATCTGTTCTCTTCTCTCCCACTTAAAGCCCCATGCTAGTTGGCCTACCCATAAGAAGTGGCAGATTTCAGGGCTGAAATGAAGCTCACTTGGCCCTGAACTCATTTTAATAAATTGACTTTTGGGGTGGCTGAAAGATAAATGATGACAATAACAACAGCAAAATGCTGTCAATTCCACAAGTCCAAAACTGTCAAAATAAAGATATTTTCTCAAATAGTGTAAGACAGTTCTTCTTTCCTCTTAGTCACTCAACACTTACCCAATGTGGATAGTTATAGAGATCGCTTTTTGCTTACATATCCCATACCAATTTTTCTCTTGTCTGGACATGTTAAAAAAGAGAACAAACACTAACAACAATAACATTTAAAGACTCTTTAGAAGAAAACCTCTTCAAATAGGGCCCATGAACCACCTAAGGAATTCATGAAAGATTTCAAAAGCTCTCTAGATCTCCTAATTTATATATAAAGCTGTAGATATTTGCATTATGCATTTTTCTGGGAATTGGGTTCAGAACTTCCATTAGGTTATCAGTGAAGGCTCTGATGCAAATGCACACACAAACAACCCCCCCCCCTACTTTACAGCATGCGTCCCATTTTCTGGCATACTGATCCTGCACAGCCTTCAGGGAGGGATGTGATGAGTGCTTTGTTTGGGGAGGAAGAAGACATTGTAATAACCTGGGAAGTCTTCATGCAGAACTGACAAAGTTCAGCCTTGCAAGACAGGTAAGATGCAGGTCAATGGAGAGGAAGGCAGGGCATTTCAGTAGAGGGACTGGCACAAGCAGAGGCACAGTGGAAGGAGCACGAGGCATATTTAGGTGATGGCAAACAGATCAACTTGCCTGCACTGGACGGCTCACATGGAGGGTCATGGGAGGCAATGCACATATAAAGACATGAGAATCTCAGGCCCTATAGAGTAACCTCCATCCTGAGGAAATGCAGCACCCCATTAGGGCCAGAAGGAGTTTTAGAAAAATTAATCCAGTAGTGATGGACAGGATGGATCAGAAAGGTGACCAAGCATGTAGAAGAGAGTATCTCAGAAGTCTGAACAAAGGAGGATGTCCTGAAATCAGAGTGTCGGATGTGTTCATTTTGCCACTCTACACCCAGTGTGGACCCCAGGCCTTGTCCTGCTCTATAAAGTCAGTGGGCATGGATTCTAAAGGATAAATAAGAACAAGAAGTCTTAGTGATTTGGAAATCCATCTTGCTATTATTCAGAGTCTAGTGGTGCCTTACATGGAGTAGATACTGAAGAAAGGTCTCATGAATTGGCCTGGACCAGGCTGACTAAACATAACGAGACAACAACAAGAGTGAAAGAGGATTCCAAGTACAGTTTGAGAGAAGCTGTGGATGTGCTGGCCCTGTGGACACACAGTGATTGCTCAGGAAGCATGGATTTATAAAGAAACAAAGCCAAGGTGCTATAATAGAGAAAAACATCCAGGTGAAAGATCTCAGTTCTGGTTCCCACTCTTCAATCAGTATATATGTGACAGTGAGTAGTCACTTACAACCTCAGGACTGTCTTTTAAGGGGGGTACTCTAGAGCTAGTCCATAGTCCAGCTGATTCTACACTTTCTCCTGAACAAATCTAGGCAAGACCCATAAGGACTAAATCCTTAGCACTTCCTTTCCTTGAACCTTAGCTATTTCACAAAAATGTATCCTAATACAGTATCCATGGGCAGGACCTGCTTTAAGACTGGACTGCAATTGTGATTCAAGTCCAAGATGTGCTAAGTCTGTGATCAGTCTTCTGGCTAGCCCATGGCCTTGGTAGTGTCACTACATACAATTCACTATGTAATTACAGAAAGGTGAGCTCAGACAATGTAGTCTACCTCTGTATAAATTTATACTGTCCTTATATCAGTTCTGATGGATAGCAAAGCATATTGCTGCTCATTAATCCTGAAGGGACTAGTGTGGGACAAGGGAGGGGTAGACATGGGGTCATAATTTATTTTCATAAGAGAGAAAATAGAACAAGTGGCCCATGAATCTTCTGTCCAACCAAAAGCATGTTAATGCTGAAGATTATGTTTCCTTAAGTTACTTTTAAGTAAAAAAGAAACAGGACTTGAACGAGACAAACAACCAAAATGTCCCCTAATTTCTTTTTTTTTTTAATAAGTAGCACCTGTTCATCAAATTAGAGAACACTTCAAATCTGGCTAGCTTACAAAGGAAGCATATAAAATTAAAGCCTTCCCAATAGAGAACTACACCATGGTCATTCTGTGTCCATTGCCCATGCTGGGAAAGTGAAGCTGGGCTATACTCTAGGGTTCTAAATTAAGTTTACACCTACGAAATGTTGAGTACCCATCATAAACCATCAGACTACAGGTGGCAATGCCTATTCATGCCCCTGTAGGAAGTACTTGGCAGACTGAATTATTAGGTTGTCGGAAAAGTTATGACATACATTTTTGTTTTTCTATGCAAAACTGTATCATGACTTTCCCAACAATCTAATATTTTACAATTTCACTTTGAAAATGGGCTCCCCACATACCCTCCAAGTAATGCACAGTAGAAACCACATGAAAATCTACATATTCATAGCTTAATTTTTGGAGAGAAAACACATCACACCTGGTGCTATACAGTGCAAGTAAACTGTAGGCAAAATTTCAAACACATTTCTTTCCACCTGAGGACAGGCAAAGGGCAAGGGAGTCTCTGTAGAGATAAGTCTACATTCCACCTGTTCATTATATTCACATTTTCAGTCCAGTGGTTCCCCTGCTCACACAGAAGTGCTACTAATAACTGGCCTTAGAAATCACCTGTTAGAAAGCCAACCATCCTCCAAATGGTAGTAGAGACTCAAACAGGCTTGTCCACTCATATCTTCTCTACCACATTCTCGTTAGGCATTAAAGAGCCCCATCAAATGGGGATGTTTTTAATTAGCTATTAATGTCTACATTTCCTGTGGAATACAAATTTCTAACTAATGTTATCTTGGCACTTATTTCCAGTTACATATTGTCATACACAATTGCTTAATTGGTAAACAGCCTCAAAAACATTCCCCCTCTTACTCCTTTGGGAGTAACAACAGTCTTTTTAAGACTGTTTTACAGAAACTATATTTTAAAAAGAAGGGTTTTTTTTCAAGTAAAGTTCATGAATTTCTCAGAAGTTTCTACATTTAAAGTACTTCTTAAATCCCATAATGGATGATCCTTACCCATTCAGAGGCAAAAGAATTTGGTTTGCAGTTATAACAGTTATAAATCTTAACACTGGCTCTCTTAGCCTACATCCACAGCTATCACCCAATGTCTTTGCTCCATGTTTCCCTGGAAAACATTCTAAGTTTAAAACAAAAGAAAAAGAAAAAAAACGCTTTCAGAGATAACTTCATAGATACAGTGCCTTCACAAATACAGGTGACCCCAAGAGTTCACAGGTATTATGAGGATGGAGAAGGAAGACAGGGAAGAGAGGGGAGATCCTTAAAAAAAATTAAGATTTGTCCTCAGCATTGACCTCTTCTTACGGGGCAGTGTCTGAAAACACCCCAAAAGTTGCATTAATAAAATTGCATACAGCCTACCACTGCACAGAGTGCTTTGATACAAGTAACATGGATCCTCTTTTCACTTTGTCTTTTCAATACATCTTTGCAAGATTTGTTTTCAAAAACACATTACAAGTTGGCAGTCTTCTGCTTATAAAAATCAATCAAACACGTTCCTCTTCACCTCTGTTAAACCCACAATATTCCTGAGCTTTATTCTCTCCAAACAAATCAAACATATTCAAGTTAACACTCTGGAGTCAACAAAGAACAACATTCCAGTGTGAGTTCAGGCAATAAAAGCAACACTTTTCTGCAAATACACAGTTGAATTGAAGATCGTTTGTAGGTCTTGATGATTTGTAAAAATATTTCCAAGGTTCTTTCAACAAAAGATTTTGATTTAAGCAAGATCACAAAGAGGAATAATGACAAAGTCCTAACTTTTGTGTGTGATTCCTCTGATCAGCTTTTGCAAATGACTGTGGTTGCTGTCTGGATATCATTTGCCCTCAAATTTCCACACATATGAAGCACAAGAAAGAATAAAATGTGTTTGTGTCACACCGCTTCCAAGAGACTTAAAGCGCTGTATGAATGTTACCATATGAATCCCCACAACACCCCTGTGAGGTAGGTAGGTGGAGAGTATAGTCAGCCCCCCTTTACAGGTGGGAGAAATGAGGCACACAATAGTTAAGAAACTTGCCCGAAATCACACAGCTAGTCACTGGCAGGGCTTAAAATAAAACTTAAACTGATTAGCACCTAGCACAGTGCTTTGCACATAGTAGGTGTTCATTGAATATCTGTGGATTTTATTTGATTTATATCTCCACATACAACATACACACATAAAGTACAAGCAGCTATCATAAAACACTTATCTCCTACATTGTTTCTGATGATATCTCTAATTTTTTCAAACCCTGGTGGATGAATGATGTTCAAGAATCCATCTCTCAACTAGGCCCTCAGGTTGAAGAGGATCGACATAAACACTACCAGTTGGTAACCCACTCTTTCAGCGGCTCTACCACACAATATTAGTTTTCTAATGAAAACAAAAATGGATTTCAGGAACCATGCTGACTTTTTTTTGTTGTTTTTTGTTTTTGTTTTTGTTTTGTTTTTGCCTGTTTGTTTTCAATGAAGCCATTTGAATGGTTTTGTTTTGTTGTGTTTTGTTTGTACAAAAAAGAAATAAGGCGGCTATAGTCCAGTTAGCATGAGAAACTGCCAAGCATGAGGACTTCCTCCCAGCTTGGATGAATTTCTACCTGGGAAACCGGACTGATCCCAGGGAGTGGCAGCTCCAAAGGAAGGGAATCAGCGAGGCTGGACATCACTTGCACTGTTCATGGTCTGTGTAGTCATCCATGTCCACATCAGAATCAAAAAGCGAGTGTCCAGTGAAATCCGTGTCTGGGGTTCTGGAAAAACTGTTCTCTGCTCCCTCATCTTCAAAGGTCTCTGTCCTTGAGTAAAAGCTAAAATCCAGCAAGGGGGTGTGGGCTTTGCTGCCTTCACTGCTCTCCTCAGACTCATAGATGGTGTTGTCCTCATCATGGTGCCACTCGGGCCAGAATTTCCGCCTTATCCTCTCACAGTACATGGCGAGGTTGATCAGCTCCCCTGCGGTAAGGGAAGGAAAGTGCAGTTAGGGCTCACAGACAACAATCTATGGTGCTCTGGCCTGAATGGCTGGGTTTCCCCAAACTCAGATGTTGAAATCCCACCCCACAGGGTATAAAAGTCAGAGATGGAGCCTTTAGGAGATGATTAGGTCATCTGGGTAGAGCTCTCATGAAAGGGATGAGTACCTTTATGAAAGAGATCATAGACAGCCACATGCCACTTCCACCATGTAAGGACACAGCAAGGAGGCACTGTCTATGAACCAAGAAGCAGGCCCTGGTCAGACATCAGGATCTGCCAGCACCATGATCCTGAACTTCCCAGCCTTCAGTACTGTGTAAAATAGTTCCCTGTTGTTTACAAGCTACCTACTTTATGGGATTTTGTTTCAACAGACCAAATAAATTAAGACATCCACTCACTAGGCTTTCTGGGAAACGTAGAAAATTTGAGGTAGATAACATTATTTTTTCACAGAGATACTATCAAAATATCTCGATTTTTATGCATATAATAAGAAGCTGAGTGAGAAAAGTCAAATCAGGTAAGTGGACTAAATGAAAGGAAGGAGTGAGTCCCATGCTGATAAAAAGTGAAGCAGTTTATTCAAAACTACCTTTTGGCTTTGTAAAACATTTTTATTTTATATTTGCAATATCAAGAGGACTGATTCTTCTACTAGAAGTTCACATTTAAATTCATTTATATCCCATGAAAATATGCCAACCGTTGGCTGCAATAAGTCAGCTAGAAGTGGGACCAACAGATGGCGTAATGGCTGCATCACTAGACTCCCATATAATCGACTGTGGTTTGAGTCCCAGACCCAGTGGTTTAAATCTCATACAGGGCTATGTGTGTGTGTGCCCAAGATCCTGAGAGGAGAATAGAGGAGAAGGGATTGCAGTGTAGCCATCCTCCCTGGGGGGTGATTTCTAGCTTTCTGTATCTCTGGCGAGCACACAAAATTTCTAAAAAAATTTTTTTAATTAAAAGTGAAACAAAGTCAGCCAGATATAATCATTTATTCCTCAGATTTTTGTACTTCTTTGTAGGGAACAAAGCCAATTACTTGAAAAAATGATAAAGGCTTTGCCCTAAAGAATCCATAACACAGAAAACTCAGAACTGTCTTTTTGGGTAAGTGTGCTTGCAAACACGTTTAGTAAAAATAGATATTTTTAAGCCTTTTCAATAAAATAAGATGGCTGCACCCACAATTGGGTTCCCACTCTGTATCTTGATTACTTTTTTTAACATGAATAAAGGAATATGTTAATATTTTCTGAATATTTGTCTGAAATATAACATAGTATTTGCTTTCATTTCCTAATTCAAAATGAAAAACGAAGAGAGGGTGAGTTTTTGCCTTTGATCCACCAGATGGCAACATTGCTTATAAATATATCATTTTTCACTATTTTTATGAGACATTATCATAGTACCCTAAGAATATTCTTAGAATGTTTATTTTTTACAGTTATATAAACATTCACTTATTATATAGGTAATTGATACCTTATTACAGAAAATTAGAAAATACAGATAAGAAAAATAAAAGAATTATCATTCCTATTCTCCATAATATTTTTTATAGTCTTTCAAAAATATACATATTTATGTATATATGTACACTTTTTACATGGGATATACTATGCATTCTATTTCCTATCCTACTTTTTTCCATGTAATATATAAAGAAAATCTTTTAATTTCATGCTATGATCACTAGAATAATTTTGCATAGTATTTTAGTACATGGGTGGATATACCATAGTTTCATTTTCTTTTTACCAATTACCTATCACAGGTCATTTAGATTGTTTCTATATTAATAGCTCTGTTGCTTATAGTCTGTTAATCAATCTATTTTTCTTTTCTTTTCTTTTTAAATTGCTATAGGGCACGTGCAGTTGACGGAGAGAGACAGAAAGAGGGAAAGGGATAAATCACCCTCCAGAGAGGATGACCACACATCAATCGCTTCTCCTCCATCTTCTTTTTGGGATTTTGGTCATGCACACACACCCACTCGGTGTGAGTTTCAAGCCACCTGGTCCAGGACCCGAATCTCAAAGTCAGTCATGTGGGATTCAGCTGCCTTAATCTCCACACCAACTGCTGGCCCATACTGTCATTATTATTGTTATCTATTTCTCCTACAACATTGTTATAAACATTTTTCCATGTCATTAAAAATTTTCAAAACTTGATTGCTGTTCTGTTTAAATAAACACAGCCCCTACAGAATATAACAAAGCAAATCTCCTCGCTTTATGGCTCCTGCAAACCAGTGGGCCTGTACACCAGGTCACTATTGCAGTCTTCTCAGGTCATTACAACTCAACTCACGCTCTATGAAAGTCCATTTTACTAGAAGATGTTCCACGCTCAGGATCCAGAGGCTGAGACATCAACAACATTGCTCCTTTTGAAGAGATGCCTGAAAAGCCTTCACCTGTTTACTCAGGAAAATATGTCATGAAATATCTCCCAGGTGTTGCTGCTAATAGGTAACCAAGATCTGCAGGCAGCAGCAAGAGGGAGGAGGAGCAGAAAAGAGACATCAGCAATGAATTAAGGTCATGTCACAGGAGGCGCTGGGCACAGCTGCCTTTGATGCAATCAAGTCCATTCCCTAGGAGTTGCTCCCAGGAAGCAGCTAGAAAATCAGAGTCTGGGGACCAGTGGATGGCATAGTGGTTACATCATTAGACTTCTAGTAGTAGTCGACTGTAGTTCAAGTCTCGGACCTGGTGGCTTAAACATCACACCGGGCACGTGTACATGCGTGCCCAAAATCCCTAAAGAAGAATGGGGGAGAAGGGATTGATACATGGCCAGCCCTCCTGGGGGACTGATTTCTGGCTTTCTGTTTCTCTGTCTCTGGCGAGCACATGCATCCTATTGCAAAAATCTCTCTCAAAAAGTAAAAAAAAGAGAGAGAGAGAGATAGAAAAGAAAATTATAATCTGTTCTCAAGATCCACAGGATCTATGATTTCTTTTATGGCTTTTCTTTCTACAGTCTTATTTCTACACTTTCCTTCTAAAAGAGCTGCTCCTTTGTGACTGAGTAACATGACTAACACTTCAGTGTGCAATAATAAAGCCTAACAATCAGGACCAGCCCATGGCCTGTTAGTTAAGGCAGTCAGGTCATACACAGCCAACTGCACAGTTCAATTCCCGGACTTGGCTTGAGAAACACACAGGGTGAGTGCACGTACATGCCCGAAGTCCCAACGGGATGGAGACATGGAGGCAAGGGCATGATCATGTGCCACTGGGCATGGCCTTCTCTGTCTCCCTCTCTCTGTCTCTCTGTCTCTCTCTCTCTCTGGTGAGTGCATGTATTCTCCAGCAAATTTTTAAAAAAATAATAATAATCAGGCCCAGGCATGGTGGTGTAGGTAGCAGGACACTACTATATGATACTAAAGTCACACAGGAAGGCCCAGAGTTTTCAAGTCAATCTGAACACACAAATGAACCTATGGGCACACCCAAGACCGAACTGGCTGGAAGGTTTGGGAGAGGACTGTGGCATGGCAAAACCCTGCTGATAGTCCTTTTCTCTCTCTTTCTTTCTTTTATATGAATGAAAGATTTGGAAAAAAATAACTTAATAGTCATAATAGCAAACAGTTACACAGTCCTTACTGGACTCCAGACACTGTTTGAAGTGTTCTACCTATCTGTCAAATTCAAATAAACCACTTAGTCCTCAGGCCCTTCACCATGACTCTACCTCACTACTGATCAGCTGACAGCTGGCCTGGGAATTGATGGCTTTGTGCTATTATGGAATATTCTTCTGTAGTTCTTCCTGAAATCTCAAGAATTATGAGAGGACAGTTGCCACCACTTAATAGCAATAAGCCATCATGAAAGAAGTAATCATTCTTTTTCTGGTTTTTGGGGTTTTTTTGAGAGAGATTTGTGCTATAAGGCATATGAGCTCGCCAGAGAGACAGAGAAAGAAAGTGAGAAATCACCCCCCAGAGAGCATGGCCACGCTGCAATCCCTTCACTTCCATTCTCCTTTCCTCCATGCACACACACTCACGCAGCGTGAGTTTCAAGCTGCCAGGTCTGGAACTCGAACTGCAGTCAACCATGTGGGAGTCCAGCACCTTAACCATTATGCTACCTGCCGGCCCTAGGTTCTACTTCTGTCTGGCTTTGCCTATCCATTTCTGGGCCTAGATTCCCCAACAGCTGAAACACTCAACATGCTACCGACCAAAAACCAGAAAAAGCTGGCAATAGAAACGAGCTGTGTGGGGGTACATGTGCATGTGAGTGATTGTGTGTGTTAACATAAATGCCTAAGCTGAAGGAGGAAACTTTGTGAAATCATGGAAAACCTGCATTTCTTCAAAGCGAACTCAACGATCCTAACAATTTCATCTATTAGACTGGTCAAAATTACTCTGAGGTAACATCCAATGCTGATGAAGAAATGGAGGGTCAGGCGTTGTGCTACACAGCTACAGGAAGTCTAAATTGCTATAACCTTTTTTGGAAAGTAATGTGATGCTACCTGTTGAAATTTCAGATATCTGTTGGCCCAATACTTTACTTTTAGAATTTTTTTATTTGACAGGATCTCACTGTGTCACAACCCTTCTGCCTCAGCCTCCCACCTGGGACCACAGGTATGTGCCACGGGCCCAGGTGCTTTTTGAGACCAGGTCTAGTGTTGTTGCTCAGGCCAGCTTCGGGCTCACAATCCTGCTACCTCAGTCTCCTCAGTTTCTGATATCACTGGCACATGCCACACAGCCGGCCATTTTAGGTTGGACCCAGAATCAAACCCAGGTCTCTCGCGTGGTACCAGTGAAATAGGTACCTCTGAAATATGTCTTAGTAGCACATGCCACAGCAACAGGGCCAGATTTTAGCTTCAGTACTCCATTCTACTAAAATAAAAATATCAATATATAAAAGGTAAGTGCACATGGATATAAAACGCAGCATTACACATTCACAAAGAAAGGGGAGGGGGCCAGCCTGGAATGTGGAGGTTAAGGCAGCTGGATCCTGCATGGCTGACTGTGCAGTTTGAATCCCAGACCTGGCAGTTTGAAAAATACTTCAGGCCTGTGTGTGTGTGTGTGTGTGTGTGTGTGTGTGTGTGCCCGAAATCCCAAAAGGAGGAAGAAATGGAGAAGAAGGTATTGGGATCTGACCATTCCCAAAGACAGTCTTTTCTTTCTTTCCTTCTCTTTCAATCTCTTTCTGGTGAGCACATATAACCCTCTGTCAAATGAAGAAAAAGGAGAAAGAGGAGAACAAAGAAGAAAAGAAAAAGATGAAAACAGCCAGAATGTCCATCAGTAGAAAGTGACTAACAAGTGACCAGCAGTTGGCATAATGGCTATGTCGCTGGACTCCCATGTAGTCGACCGCGGTTCGAGTCCCGAACCTGGTGGCTTAAACTCATGCGGGGCGTGTGTGCGTGTGTGCATGCCCAAGATCCCGAGAGGAGAGTGGAGGAGAAGGGATTGCGGCGTGGCCATCCCCCCAGAGGGTGATTTCTCGCTTTCTGTCTGTCTTTGTCTTTCTGGCAAGTGCATGTGCCCTATAAAGAAAGAAAGAGAGAAAGAGAGAAAGAGAGAAAGAAAGAGAAAGAGAAAAAAAGTGACTGACAAAATTATCAATTGCATAAAATATTGTGCTTGTGCAGCGGTTAAGAAGACTAGATATTCTGTTCAGTGAAAAAAGCAAGTTACAGAGTAATGTGTTTAGTAAAATTCCATTGTTTAGTTCAAATCATCAAAAACAAACCAAAAACACCTATATATGTATGTATGTTAATTTGTGCATGAAAAAGAAAGGCATGGAGATTTCATATTCAGTTCTGAATATTGACTGCTCCATGGGAGCCATATTGAACATGGATGAGGGGACTGTCATAAATTCTTTATATTATGCTAGTATAATTCAACTTATGATCATCATATATGACTCTTTAAATTTAAAAGCCTAATAAAATAAATTAGCAAAAGAGTGATACTCTCCAACTGGACTGGTCTGAGATGTATTTCATGTTGGGTAAATTCTCTTTACAAGCCAAAAGATGTATAATAACCGAATTTTTTAAAAAGTAAGGATAAGAATAATTTTTTTTTTAAAAAAGTGACTCTCTGAGAACTTGAGAAGAAATTTCCCAGAGAGCCAGTGCCCCTCCACCCAAGCAATCCCAGACAGAATAAAGAATAACTCCTTTCTCTTGGAGTTTCTACAATGGAAATATTCTCCACCACTCTGAGAAAAGGTGAGAAGCTTTATTTTTCTTTATACCTCTAATTTCTCTAATAATAAAAAAATGTTATACTATTTGACACTGAAAGCATTGCTGACCAGACCCAGAGTCCAGGACTAAGTTTCTCCAAGCTGCCAATCATGCTTGGCAGGAATGTGAGCGAGGGAGAAGCCTGCCAATGTCTCCCAACACCACCTGCCAACCCTGGTCATTAACTAGCAAATATTTACAAAACATAGGCCAACACCCAAACAGACTCATTTGTTCCACAAGTATTGACTCAGTATCTCCCCGTTCAAGACCTGCCTTAGATGCTGGAAACCCTCTTGATTGCTCCCTTCAGCATTTGTCACTTAGGCACAGAGGACACTGAGCATAATCTTTTTTTAAAAAAAGGTTCCTAACATATTTAAATGCTGTAATGAGACACCCCTTGTCTCCTTGCAGCTATAAGACACAGATCTCAAAATATAAACACCTGGGACCAGCAGATGGCACAAAAGTTACATTGCTGGACTCCTATGTAGTCAATCACAATTCAAGTCCCCAACTCAATGGCTTAAAATATGCTGGGCACATGTGTGTGTGTGGTCGAAAGGAGAATGGAAGAGGAGGGTTTGTGGCATGGCCATCCGCCTTGGGGATGTTTTCTTGCTTTGTGTTTCTCTGTCTCTGTCTCTCCAGCAAGCATACACATCCTATAGGAAAAATCTCTCTTTAAAAAAAAAGAAAAACCTACAAAGGTCATTTGATCCAATTCTTTCCTACGACCTGAATCCTCCCCACACCCCAAAAACCTCTTCATGAATACTTCTGGATGGAGCATGGAAAGTGCACAGATGAAAATATAGGGGTCTTCCAAAAGTTAACGGAAAAGCATATAATGAAAAAATTACACATGGATTTCCATTTTTTACACCAAAATAAATGTGTACTTAACTCCATTTTCCCATAAACTTTTCAAATTCCCTCTTACCTACATGCTTTTCAAGGATATCTAGCATTTTTTTAATCTATAAAATAATAGTCAAAAAAACTCTCATGTGCAATAAATAATTGTTGGTGAAAGTTGCTGAATGAGTTTTTCTTAGGACACAGAAGGTTATGTTTCCAAGTCAGAGAACTGTGTTGGGTCTGTGGTTTCGAGATGGCTCCACGGGGTGGACAGGCGTACAGCAGAACTCTCACTGTGGTTGCATCGATTTTACTTTCTTAGGCTTTCTTAGGTTCTCCACATCTGTTTTTCGTTTTGTCTTGCTTTGCTCTGCTCATGTCAGAGAGTGCATACATGCACACATATGGGACACAGAGAGAGCAGGAAAGAGAGAGCACTCCCAGCTGAGCCTGGTTATGCTGCAGTCCTTTTTCCTACAATTGTCCATCCCATCAGGATCCTAGGCACACAGCTTTATGACCTGTGTGATCTTCCAAGCCGCCAGGGCTCCAGCCTTCAGTCAGACATGTGTCTGGCACTAACCCACTGCACTACTTACGGGGCCAGCCCTCCATGTCTATTTTAAAGAGTGCCCGAATCCACAAGCAATTATCGAATTAAGTGACCCTGATTCAAATATTAAATCGACTCTACATTAAAAGTTTCTAAATTAATCCTATTCAGTCCTAATGAAGGAACAGAAATTTGAGATGCTTTCAGACATTACTTGTGAGAACATAAACCGTGTCAGCCTTTTTATTCTTTTTTTAAAGGTTTGCTGTAGGACACATAAGCTCACCAGAGAGAGACAGGGAGAGAAAGTGAGAAATCATCCCCTGGGGGATGGCCATGCTGCGATCTCTTATCTGTGATTCTCCTCTGGGGAATTTGGGCACACATGTGCACACGCATGCACACACACATACATACACACACACACACACACACACACACACTCCAGGTGTGTTTTTCAAATCACCAAATATAGGACTCACACCGTGAAGTCAGCCCCAAGGGATCCAGTCATCTTAACCTCCACATACCCCTGCTGGCCCCACTTCATCTTCTCTAGAAAGCAATTTAGTCGTGTAGACCAAGAGCTTCTACTCTTTGAGACAGTAATTTCCTAACTACAGTCAGCCTAAGAAAATAACCAGAGATGAGTATGAGTATATATAATATTCATTACAGAATGCTAGTAAAAATTATTTGAAATAACCGAGTCCAAAAAAGATTGATCATGTAAATTATACGGTACCCTTAGTATAGGATATTACACAGCTACTAAAACTATGTTTTGAAAGACGATTTAATGATAAGGAACATGCCAGAATCGTGTGAGACTTGCCTTTGATTAGCCGCTCGGGTCTTGTCCCTGGTAAGGTCCACATAGCCTGTGCCAAGTGTCCAAAGACGGTGGCATCAAGAGTGGAAAACTTGGGCCCCATGATGTACTTTTTATCACCTGCAGCAGACAGAAGAGAAAGGTTACTGGGTGGCCCACGCACCCCACAACGCCATTTGGTACACTCTCATTATATTGCCTCATTTAACTGAACAGCAAAAAGCTTCACAGAATTAAAATGCATGCAGACCCTTTTCTTAATTAAAAAAAAATTTCAGAAGAATAAAAGTAAAATGAATTAAGCCATTCTGTGATACATACACCCACACAGAGCGAAGCAGGAAACATATCAAGATAAGTGGATAAGGGAAGGTGGTCATGCACGAAAGGGAGAACTGATCACCAGCAGGCCTCTGGGGAACTTCCTTGTCTCCAGTTATATGAATTAAAGCTTGTGATGATGGAGAACATCTGGAAGTTGCTGAAACCGTCTCAAGAATAACCCGAACCAAGCATAGCCAACCTCCGCACTTACATTACACTGATACATTTGCTCAGGAAAAACAAGAAGCCTAAGCTGCTTAAGAAGCTTGAGGCTAGGTTTTCTATGAGGCCCCATGGCCTTGGTGAGGGTCCCACCACTGAGCACCAGCTTGCACAGGAGTCACCAAGAAAAGCCAGGACATCACATGCTCAGTCCTGGCATAAGGCTTCCACACAAGGATCTTTTACACTACTGCTCCCATCTCCCCATTTCCACCACTGCTGGCTCAGTTCAGGCCTTGTTTCCTGGATGATCATACTCCATCTATTATATTGTCTTCCAGGCTACTGTCAGACACTGTAGAATACAGAGACAGCACAGGTGAACTGGATCCAGCTAGTTCACATCCTGGCACCGCTGTTACTCACTCTGGAATCTGGTCAATATGGAACCTCTCAAAGCCTCAGTTTTCCCATCTGGAAAATGGAGATGATATTACAAGCACCATTTCTCAGGGCTATTGAGAGGATGAAATGACAAAATACATTCAAAGCACTTAGTGCCGTATCTGGGGAACTCAATCAGCTCCCATGATGATGGCCCCTCCCTTTCTCCGGTCCACTGAACATCCCATCCAATCTTCAGCCTCCTAGATACTCATTTCATCACGTCACTCCTTTTCACGAACACCTTCAGTCATTTATGAGAGGAGCTATAAATAAAGCCTGACTTCCACCACTCTTTAGCAGCAGACTGAGGAGATCAATTATATTACAGAATCCAGGTAAGATGGGAGGAGGGGGAGTGGCTGAAAGTGGGACCATGAATTAAAAAACCCATAGTACAAGTCAAGCTGGAAGAGGTTTCCTCAGAATATCATTTTATGTATATTCCATAGGGACCAAGGAATACCTTATGCTAGTACAATTGCTGAAGCTAAGTGAACTGTTCCTTCCAGTGAGGGCAATCAAGTCATCCATGTTAGAGCCCTGTTTCCCATTGTCAACCCTCTGCTCCATCATTTGAGTCTTACCCAGGATCTAAGCCCATTACTCAAGTACTGAGAAAAGAGAAACAATACAGGGGTGGGGGGGCAACAACAAAGAAAATCTAAATATCATCTATCATTTGTTCTCAAGAGTGATCATTACTTTTTTTTTTTAAGAAAGAAAGATTTTTGCTATAGGGCGCATGACTCACCAGAGAGACAGAGACAGAGAGACAAAAAGCAAGAAATCACCCCCCCCCCAGGGGATGGCCATACCTCATTCCCTTCTCCTGCATTTGGGGCCAGTCCCATGGCTAAGTGGTTAAGGGAGCTGGATCACACGTGGTCGACCACAGTTCAAATCCTGGTTCAAATCCTGGGTCCAGTGACTTGGAAGCACATTGGGTGAGCATGCAAGCAGCATAGACAGAGAAATGCAAGAGAGGGGATGAGGCATGACTATACCCCATTAGGGGAGTCTTCTCCCTCTCCCTCTCTGTTACTCTCTGGTGAGCATACATGCCCTATAGCAATTAAAAAGTAAATGCATAGATTTTTTCCTGAAAATTTTAAAACTGGAAAGACATGGATTTAGGACCGAACCCAACCTGCCGACAGGCAGGTCTCTTGACTTCTGGCCTGATGCTCTTTATCGCCATAATATGCCACATGGATCATCAACACAGAAACAAAGATTCCATGGGCCAGTAGGGTTGTCAGTTATTTTGTAAAACGTCCATTACTTTGGGCTCATCTAAGGTCTTCTTATGATTAGTCATTCATTTTTGAGCTGTGAAAGTTCTCAAAAGGGTGCTTTGGTAAGGAATTAAGTACAGAACATAGAAAGAGAACTGAAACCTAAGGATTTTTAAAAGGGGCATGCAAAAAGTAACAATAAAGATGGAATTAGTTATCTGTAGAAAATGTGGAGTGGTAAATACAAAATTATATATGGACACACATATGGGATAGATATATATTTAAATAGTATAAAAATATCTTCTGTCATTAGTAAATTCAATGGCAGGAAGCTGTTTAATATTTTTGTTATAAGTAATTTTAACCTTATAAAAAGATTGGAAAAATAGCACAGTTCCATGGCCAGCAGGGAGGCATGGCGAGTAGGGTACTGGATTCCCACATGGCCGACTGTTGTCCAAGTCTCAGACCCAGGAGATTGGAAATCACAACAAACAAATATATCAATCAATATTTTTTAACATTTAAAATAGCACAGTTCCTGTATACCCTCCAGCCAACTTCCAATAATATTATCTTACATAATAACCACAGGTCATTAAACAAAACTAAGAAATAAACCATGAGCTCAGCACTATAAAATGCAATATAGACATCATATGAATTTGATTAGTTTTTCAACTAATGTTCTCTTTTGTTCCAGGATCCAACCCAAGATCCCACACTGCATTTAGTTGTCATGTCTTATTATTCTCCTCCAACTTATGAAAGTTCCCTAATTATTCCCTATATTTCATAACCTTGTCACTTTTAAAGAATTCTGGTCAGTTATTTTGTAAAACATCCATTATTTTGGGCTCATCTAAGGTCTTCTTATGATTAGTCATTCATTTTTGGCAAGAATACCACAGAAGTGACAGTGTATCCTTCTTTGATGGTTAATTTTACATGTCAACTTGACCAGGCTATGAGGTAGCCTGACATTTGTCCAAAATGTTGTGCTGGGTGTGCCTATGAGGGTGCTTCTGGATAAGCTAGTTATTTGCCCCAGCAGACTGAGTAAAGCAGATTGCCCTTCCCAGTGTGGGTGGGCTTCACCCAATCAGTAGAAACCCAAATAGAACAAAAAGGCTGACCCTCTCCAATGTAAGAGAGAATTCCTCTGTCTGACATCCTTCAAATTGGGGCACTGGCTTTCTCCTGCCTTTTGACTCAAACTGAAACAAACACTCTCTCTGGATCGCAAGCCCACCTGCCTTCAGATGAAATACACCATCAGTTCTGGTTGTTAGGCCTTTGGCACCAAGCTAGAACCATGCCATCAGCTTTCCTGGCCTCCAGCTTGCCAACTCATCCTGCAGGTCTCGGGAATGTGTCAGCCTCCATAACTGTGTGAGTCAATTCCTCATAATAAATCTCTTTGTGTCATATTGATTCTGTTTCTCTGGAGAAATCTGACTAATACACCTCTCAGGGCATCTTACCAGGGGGTGCATAAGATCCACGTATCTTATCACTAGTGACGTTAACCTTGACCATCTGGTTATGGTTTCTTCACTATAAAGTTATTTTTAAAGTTGCTATTTTTTTCCTTCATAATTAACCATCTTGGGAGAAATACTCTAAGACTATACTATATCCTGTTTCCCTTCAGGCTTTGGCCCACTAATTTTAGCATCCATTGGTGGATATTATGTGAAATAATTGCTATTGCAGTGTTGGCTTAATTGTGATTTTTCTGTTCTCTCATTTTTTCCACATGTATTGATTCAAATTCTACTGTCCCTTTATCTCCATTTACTAATGTATTCTATTATTTATTTATGTAAGAAGGCACTCGGAGATCTATTTTATTCTATGGGTTATAAGTCAGTACTCTCATTATTTATTTGTTGCTCAAATTGTTCTAGCTTTGGCCTTTGGGAACTTGGCAGGAAGCATTTTTAAAAAGGAAACTGAATTAGATTTAACTCTGCTTATAGACAAAAAGGCCAAGCTAAAAGATTCAAGTCTGCAGCACAGCCAGTGTTCATTAAGTGGCCCTGGATCTCATAGCTAAAGAGTTTTAGTAAAAACACAACACTAAGGGCAATTCTGAAGGACACTAAAAGGATCAGGCTTGTGTGATGAAGCACCTCGAGCCTCATTTTTGGCAGATGATTCACCTCAATGGCTTCTGTAGAGCAGACAAGCAGCTGAAAATTACCTGGGCACCTGTAAACCACTCTGCCAGACTCAGGCTAGGAATGTGGGCCGTGAACCACTGGTGAAGGCAAATGAGGTTGAGAACACCAAAGTCTTAGCCAGTGGGAAACCCTGGAGACATCAGATCCCCGAAGTGTGCTTCAACAGGGGCCACTTCCCAAGTATCCACACCTTCCCGAGGGTGCAGAGCCCTCCTGACTGAGATTGTGCCCAGAGCCCAAAAGTGGCAAAGTGACTTTGGATGCCCAGGATGACCTGAAAGACCTTAATGGCTGGGTTATCAGCAAAGGCCAGTGAGGAAATACAAGGACAGTAACGGAACAGCCTGAGCGGAGAAGCTCTGTGGATCTAGAGAAGGAGAGCCCACAGCAGGAGTGGCAGGAATAGGCTTGACTGATGGGGCTATGAATGACAGCTAGTCCTGAACATTTTTAGGATCTTACATGACCTCCCCTGGGTCATGCAGGCAGCTCCTCAGCCATATTGTAAATACAGAAACTACTGGGGCACTCAAGGCTGACTAAAAACTGAGTGGAGATATTTTTGAATCATGAATAACTAGAATGTTTAGGGGCCCTGGATGCTTGTTCTTTGCTTTTTGTTTGCCTTTTTTTAATTATTAATTTATTTAACTTTATTTATTTATTTATTTTAATTTGACCAGAGAGGGACAGAGAGAGAGAGAGAGAGAAATTGAGAAAGCAAGCAGCCAGGTCTGGAACTTGAACCGTGGTCAGCCACATG